AATTACACATATCACCTATGGATATTGATTGGCAACACACGAAAAGGGTTGCCCTGTAGTATGTAGAATTCAGAAGAAGGTGTTTCAAAAAAAAGTAATAGATCCTCTTTAAAAAAACTAAAGATGGAGGTTGATGTGGCACTAGTTAATCTCTCCATTGGGACAAATAGGAGTAAAGGATAACATAGATTGTAAACTTGTTTGAGCATGGTCCTCATCAACCTATTGTTTCTGTAACATTTTGTAATTGTCTAATGTATTGTTACATTTCCCACTTTATAACATTGTCAAGCACTACTATAACATTGCCAACATTAATAATGTAAGATTCAGTAATTAAGCAACGAGATTACTGCAGAATATGCGTTATTCATATTGCAGGGCAAACCTTTTCATGGGTTTTCATAAATGTGACAAAATGATGTTTCCATTAAAATAGTGGATATGGTAACCGTACCAAAAAGGAACAAGAGGGTGCTTTCACTTTTGTGTGTGTGTGTGTGTGTGTGAATGCATGTGCATTAAAAGAGCAAAGTTGGTCCTATAAATGGCAGAATGGTTTCATAAATTCAAACGGTATCATAAACTTAAAACATATTTTTAAAAATGTGAATTACCAAAGACATCCAAAATTCTAAAAGTCTCTAAGAACCTTTAATTCTTGGAAATATTTTGAATAACATACTATTTCATTAAAATAAAATGCAATGTATGTCTTTGCAGAGTACACTACAGCCAGATATGTATGTATGTAAACATATACAATATTTACAATTTCTACCTAAGTTAAACAAGACATGACTTAACATCAACATAGCTTCATAAAAGCAATACATTTTCTAAAAAGCAGACTCCCTCAGGAATTCAAACCCAGCTGACATGCCTTTCTTCACAATATTACCCAGACAGGAATGTTTGTGGAAATACGTGATTCTCAAAATTTCCCACACAAACTTGAAATGTATAGGTACACTACAGTAACTAACACTAGCTATTTATAACTGTTTATTTTTTAGAATTGTGAATGACAAGTATATCCTGCACATGATGAAACAAGACGTTTATTACCTAAATGGTCAGCTGTAGTTTTAGAAGTATATGCGAGTGTGACTACAAGAGGCAACATATAGCATGTGTATATAGAGACCCTCTAAATACACCAAGGTTGCCAGACCAGTGTGGTATAGTAATAATCCTGCAGCCCCGACAGTATTAACATAGTACACTGGTCTGGTTAAATCTCAAATTAAAAATAAAGGGAGGAATGCAGATCATAGTATAGTATGTACAATTTATTACAAATTAGATAAACAATAAATAAATAAAAATTACTCACAAAATGACTTGTTCAAGTACAAAGAAACGTGTAAAAAACAGCTTTGCCCATAACGGGCTAAAATCCCACCACTACACACCACTACACAGCTGTCAGCTGTCAAAGTCCTAAGAACCCACGGTTAGCAAATTCCTGGTGTCCCATTGATTCCTTCTTTTGGCAGTCAAGGTGGTCACCGGGGGAACTTGCTTTGTTCAATGGGTTTCATCCTGTGCTTGTCTGGGCTTCTTGAGGAGATGTCTGATCCCATCTTCTCTATTTAAATATCTGAATCTTTGCGCCATTGTGGTCGGGCACACGCACATTGGCACTGCCTTCCACTGCCTTTTGGGAGAGCTGATCGCTTGTGTACTGCCAAGCCTGCCATCAATGGAATGCAGCTGAATTTTATTGACTTCTGCTAACATTGCTTAAGAACAAAACCACGGATTTAGAGACAGAACGTCTCAGTGTATTGTGTGGGTGGTGTAAAAGTCAGTGGTGTGCTTTGCAATGTGCAGTGCCACTGAAAAATACAACACAATGGCAAAAAATCTAAATAATTAAAAAACATATTTATCAAAATAATATTTATTAAAATATGGAACAATCAGATTACCCTAACATATAGGTGTCCAACCTTTTGGCTTCCCCGGGCCCTACTGAGCGTAGAGGAATTGTCTTGGCTGCACATAAAATACATAATATAATTAATATACAATAAAACTTTAAAAGCCCTTTTCTTAATTTTGATATTTCATTTGTTTAGTAGATAACTCCCTTATTTTTTATCCTTATGTGAGATTGCTATATTTAAGGATACCAAATTAGGGAGCTATCCTCTGAACTATATACATATACACATAATCACATATATAATATACACACACATACAATCTACAGACCTATACATACACAACCACAGCATACAAATACACACACATAATCACAGACATACACAAAACACAATCACAGACCCACACACATACAATCACAGACGCACAATCACATACACACACACAAAATCAAATTGATACACACACATTTAGTAATTAAGAGGTCCACCCAGTCTCCCTACCTTGCTCTGGGAGGACTGGAGTGGATCCTCTCCCTGGCAGCAGGTGGTTGCTGCAGTGATTGGATCACACTGTGCTCTTCGTGCACAGGTCCTTCACGTGCCCAGTAGTGATGCCAATGCCAGGATGATGTCATAATGCTATAACTATGCAGTAAGGGCACAGTAAGCAATGGGCTCCCTCATAATTAATCCATAAAGGCTAAAATGCTTATGTGTTTCAATCCATAGGTATTCAGTTTCTTTTCTAGCTAAAAATCTGTTGTTGTTTCTTCCCAATGGGGTACAATTTTGTCTATTTCAATACAGATAAAATCTTGCAACTATTGTAGTGTCTATGTACACTATGCTTTTTGATCTTGTGGTTTATCCCACTAATATGCTCAAATAATCTTTCATGTAATTTCCTTTTTGCCCTACCTACATATGGAATGCCGCAGTTGCACTGGAGTAAATAGATCACATTTTTACTTTGGCAGCGTATAAAATGTTTAATCTTGAAACCTTCCCCTGTAATAAAACGTTTAAAATATGTAGTTTTCCTAGCTTGAAATGTACAGGTGCTACAACTGCCACATTTAAAAAAAAAAAAACAGAAAACCTTTGGTTTGTCAATAAGGAAACTCTTCTCTTTAGAGCTATGATTTCCCTTGGGAGTTAGGAGGATGCTAGGTGCTAAAATCATTGGCTACTTTGGGGAAATAGGGTTAGGAAGAGCCTTATAGCTGGAGGAAACATGTCTGTGATAGGTGGAAGTGACTCTGTTATAGGGGAGAACCCATATGCTGTGGGTTTTTTAAGTAGGCTCCTCTCTGGCTGGTAACTATGGGGTTATTGCACAAATAACAGTTTACTTTAAAATTTTAGCTATTTTTGAAAAACGTCGCCTCGTTGGGGATATGATGATAACATTATACAAATATATCCGAGGCCAATACAAACCATTGTGTGGAAATCTATTCACAAACAGGACTATACATAGGACACAAGATCATACGTTTAGACTGGAAGAAAGAAGATTTCGCCTAAGACAAAGGAAAGTTTTTTTTACCGTAAGAACAATAAGGATGTGGAATTCTCTGCCTGAAGAAGTGGTTTTATCAGAGTCTGTACAGATGTTTAAAGCAACTAGATGCATATTTGCAAAAACAGAATATTCAATAATATGATTTTTCAACTGTAGGGTAATAGCTTCTTGATCCAAGGATAAATCTGGCTGCCATTCAGGGGTCAAGAGGGAATTTTTTTCCTAGTTTATTGCAAAATTGGAAGTGCTGTATGTCACTATATGTAACTTTAAAATGCATTTAAATATTTTGTGAGCAGTGAATGATTCTGTATGTTGAAGCACTGAACTTCTACCACAAGCTATACAGGACGAGTATGGGAACTAGGTAAAAACTCCCTAACAATGTGTCTGAAGCCAGGAGGGGATTTAGGGCAGGTTTAGCTGTAGTAAGGTGAGATTAGTTTTTTTAATTGTAATAATTTAATTTTTTCACACTTTGAATCACAGCGATGTATTGGGATCCCATTTATTTCTATGGATGTCGTTTGTTTGATTTTGAATCTAGCTAATGTTTTTAAGTAGCAGTAAAAAGTATTAACTGATGGGATAGTCTTGTTCGAGTGTAAATAATGTCGGGCAATATATTTCACCAAACAATGGTATTGACTCCATTCTGCCTTAGCCGGGACTCTATGATTCTCTGTATGTTATGGAATGTTGTTGCTCACACAGAGCTGTCTCTTCATATAAGATTATCAGATCACAACCTATCCTATCAGTTACAGTGCTGTCCTGTCAGATCCAAAGGGAGAGGCTCGTGTTTTGTGTTAGAAATCTATCCGTGGTACATTACAATCAATAATATGTATCAGGTAATGGAAGACAAACTACTAGAAATATAAATATTTTTCTCAACTGTACTGTAACACAGCTGACAGGTAATATAGATTAATAATAAAAAAAATAAAAAATAATAATAATAAAGTATCCTATTGACCACCCCTTGTAGATATATAAGGAGTGACAGAAATATATATATATATTTTTAATTCTTTATTTATTGTTCATTTTGTGTATTTCGGTGGGTGGGGTGTGGGTTACAGAAGAGAAAGTAGGTTCGGGGGGGGAAGGGTAATGCACAGTTGTACAGTTTCTTTTCTTTTTACATTCACACAATCACCCGTTACATATGCGGAGATAATAATGGCTTGTGTTGTACATATTTTTTTCTTATAAGAAAAAAAAAGATCAAAATGTTCTGTTCAGAGAGCTAGCTTCTACAATTTTCTAGGCTACTCCGAGGGTTTATTTGTATAGCCCCTGCCTTCGTTGCGGTTGTATGAACGAAATATATAAGAGATTGTTTGGCCACGTGTTGTTCTCTCTCTGTTATGTTGCTCTGTCATGTAAGGGGAAGATGTGAACATTTCCCTCGGTTCTGCAGAGTTGTGGGCCCTATGGGGCATCTGTTATTCCCTGGGGGTGTTGGTGTTATGGTCATACTTTTCCCCGTTTTCGGTATATCTTTGTGGTGGTGTTGTCGGTTTCCCGGTATATGAGTCTATTAGCCTTCAGTGTGTCGTTATCTCGGAGCCTGGTGGTTAGTTGGCTCTTGGTGTTTTGTTGTTATAGGGTTTCGTGTGTTTTGGGGTGTGTGCGTCAGGTGGTTGAGTTCTGATGCCTGTTGTTCCTGTGCAGGAGCGGTGAGGTGGTGCAGTGGGTAGAGGGTGGGTTGAGAGATAGGGTTCCAGGGGTGTGGGGGTCCGTGGATGGGTAGTTGGGGTACTCCGCCACACGGCGCCCCAGCCCGGTGGGTAGGGCAGGGTGAGGTGATGATTGGGCTTAAGGGGAGCTATGTTGGAAATATAGTGTTTAGAACTAGTTAAGAATGTAATTGGGGTGTTTGCTTCTGTGCAAGTTGTGTTTGTATTTACCAGGGTAGGGAGGTGTCTCCTTCTAGCCAGGGGTCCCAGACATTGTGGAAGTGTTTGGGCGTGTCATGGAGTTGGGATGTGAGCTTATCCATTTGTATGTTATCCTGTATTTTTTGGGTGATGCTCGTTTGTGATGGTATGCGAGTGGTTGACCACAGTTCCGCTATCACCCGTCTTGTTGCTAGGGCGATGCGTGCACCGAGTTTGTTTTCTGCTCTGGTTAGGTTCTCTAGTGGTTTTGAGAGTAGGAGGACCCATGGGTCCAATGGGTATGGCTTGTGTATAATTTTTGTCAGTAGCGTGGTGACGCTGATCCATAAGGGTTTTATTTTGGGACATGTCCACCAGCAGTGGAGGAATGTCCCTTGTTCTCCACAGAGTTTCCAGCATGTGCTGGGTGTTGTTTTGTGGATTAATGCTAGGCGTTGGGGTGTGAGGTACCAGCGAAATAGCATCTTGTATGCTTGTTCCGCATGTGTTACGCATATTGATATTGAGGCCGTAGCTTTCCAGATATTTGCCCAGTCTGTGTTGTCTTCTGGGGGTCCTAGATCTTTTTCCCAGGCTGCTATGTAAGTTAGTGTTACTTGGGTGGGGTAGGTTGCCAGGGTCGTGTATAGGTCCGAGATTTGACCTTTTCTAATTGGGTGGTGTGTGCAATCTTTCTCAAATCAGGTGAGTGTGGCTGTACCTTTTTTGTTGTATTATTGGGGTTGATGCGAAGCTGCGTAACTGAATATATCGGAAGTGGTCAAATGTTGTCAGAGTGTCCGCGTCTTTGATTTCCGAGTATTTTATTACTGCATTGTTTTGGTACAGGTGGTTGAGTCTCACGATGTCCCTTTGGTCGAAGTGGGCAAAGTGAACGGGGGTAAGCCCTGGTGGGAATAGTTTGTTCCGCCATATCGGGGTCATTGGGGAGAGGAACGAGGACAGTTCATATTTGTCCTGCAGTTTGTCCCAAAGGTCCTGGGAATGTGTGATGGCTGGGGCGGTTGGGGGGGGTAGGGGTCGGTGTGGTTTGGGGACCCACATGTATAGGGATGGATGGTCTTTTCCAAAGATTATGTGTTCGAGGTCTACCCATCTTTTGGTTTGTGGTGTGGAGTGCCAGAGTTGGATCTGGGCTAATTGCGCTGCTGCGTAGTAGTGTGTGAAGTTCGGTAGCCCTAGGCCTCCGTGTTTTTTGGGGACATAAAGTGTGGTTCTGCTGACTCGGGGTTTGCGGCCATTCCATATAAATTTATCAACCGCCGTTTGTAGAACTTTGAGATCTGCTTTGTGGGGTGGGATGGGCAGCGTCTGAAAAAGGTATAGCAATCAGGGGAGTAGGTTCATTTTTACAGACGCCACCCGACCCAGCCAGGACACTCCCAGTGTCGTCCACCTTTGCAGGTCGGCATGTGCTATGCGTAGTAACGGGGTGTAGTTCTTCACGTATATAGAGGTTAAGTCAGCTGGTAGGTGTATTCCCAAGTATGTTATGGCTGAGGAGCATTTTCAGAATGGGTATCTATTTTTTATGCTTGTTAGTTGTGAGTCGGAGAGTTGGATCGGCAGGATTTCCGATTTTGCGAAATTCAGCTTATATCCTGCGACTAGTGCGTATTCATGTATGGTATCTAGAAGGGATTCTATTGATTGGTCCGGGTTGGTTAGTGTCAGGAGAATATCGTCCGCATAGGCAGACACAGTGTATGGTTCGCCTTAGATATTTACTCCTTCTATGCGAGGATTGGTGCGAATTGCCTGGAGTAGGGGCTCTAAGGATAGTGCGAATATAAGGGACGATAGTGGACAGCCTTGTCGTGTGCCGTTCGATATTGGGAATCTAGGTGGGGGGATGTTGGGAAGGAGGAGGGCTCCTTGGGGAGAGTGGTATGTTGCTTGTAGGAACGCAAGAAATGCACTCGGGAAGTTCATATGGTCTAGTGTGCGGTAAAGAAAGGGCCACAGTAGGCGGTCGAATGCCTTTTCAGCATCTAGTGAGATCACTGTTGTGGGGATTTTGCGGTGTTGTGTCAACCATATGATGTCTATGTTTCTGCGTGTATTATCTGATGCTTGTCTGTTGGGGATGAAGCCCACTTGGTCTGGGTGTATTAGTTTGTCTAGGTATGGGTTGATTCTATTGGCCATCATCTTGCTCATAATTTTGAGATCCACGTTTAGTAGGGAGATGGGTCTGTAGTGTTCGGGTTCCGTGAGGTCCTTGTTGGGTTTAGGGAGCAGGCAGATATTTGCCATTGTCATGTCAGGTGGCAAATGATCTCCTCTTAGGGTAGCATTGAATACTACGCAGAGGTGTTTGAGGAGTAAGGGGCTGAACTCTTTGTAGTAAAGAGCGGTATATCCGTCTGGGCCTGGGCTTTTGTTAGGTTTGCAGGCCCCAACGGCTATCGCCATTTCTTCTACTGTTGCCTCTGCTTCTAGGGTTTGTTTGGTGGCTTGAGATAGGGTAGGTAGTGTTATACGTTGGAGGTAGTTGTCTATCTGTTCCCGGTAGGCGGTGGTGTCGTGGCGGAGGTGTGGTGAGTGATTGTACAGGGATTCAAAGTATTGTTGGAATGTATCGCCTATTTGTTCGGGTGAGTCGCTGAGTGAGCCTGTCCTTGTGCATATGGAGGATATTTTTTGGCTTCCATGTGTTTTTTGAGCCATCGGGCTAACATGGTGTCGGCTTTATTGCCTGTTTCATAATATTTCTGTTTGAGCCACATTAGGGCTTTGGTCGTGTCCGTGTGCATGAGTCTTTTAAGGAGATCTCTGGTGGCGTTTAGTTTGCGCAATGTATTTGGCTGTGGGTCGTGTTTATGGCTAGTTTCTAGTTTTCGCAGCTCAATCAGCGTCTCTCTGATTTGCTGTGTTTTCCTTTTTTGTGGGCTGAAGCTAGGCTAATGAGGGTGCCTCTGATAACTGTTTTGTGTGCAGCCCATAGTGTTGTCGGTGAGGTTGCGGAAGGTGTGTTAGTGTCAAAGTATTCTTCGGCTTCGGCGACTGTGAGCTTAAGCTGGGTGTCGTGGAGGAGCAGCGTGTTCAGTTTTCATGACCATGGTAGTTTTAAGTCCGGGAGGCGGATGATGAACAATATGTCGGCATGGTCTGACCACGAGATGGTGCCTATGTTGGTGCTAGATACTTGGGATAGTAAATTTGGGGAGATTAAAAAGTGGTCTATGCGTGAGTATGAGGTGTGTGGGTGCGAATAGAAGGTGTAGTCCCGGGTAGTTGGGTGTTGTGCTCTCCATATGTTGACTAGCGTTTGTGTGGTGTTTCCCTGCGTAGGCCTGTAAGTGTGTGGCGTATTGTTGCCACAACGTGCCGTTTGGGGTGGTTGGGGCGTATACTGAGCTTATGGCATATGGAGTTGTGCCTATTTTCCCATCTATTGTGACGTAGCGTCCTTGGGGGTCCGTCGTGCACTTAATGTCCGTTAAGGGGCATGTGGATTTCATTATAATTGCGGCCCCTTTCGTTTTAGTGTCCGGGGAATTGGCCAGGTAACTCTGTTTATAGTAGCGGTTGGTGAGGGGAAACTATCATGTGGTTGTGAAGTGAGTTTCTTGCAGGAGTAGTATTTCTATGTGTTGCCTATGTGCCCAGCGTAGTAGTCCATGTCTTTTAATGGGTGTGTTAAGGCCCTTGCTATTGATGGAGACGCATTTCAGGGAGAAGGGCATTGTGATGGTCGTTATACCGGGTTGAGTCCGGTGTTAGCTATGGGGTATAGTGTGTTGACGGGTGGTGGGTGGGGTGGCAGTTGGGCTGGGGCGCGAGCTGGGGCTCCGCGCCACAGTGATCGGTTGAAAGGAAGAGGTTATGGGGTTGGAGTGGTGGAGGGGGAGAGAAAAAGGGTAGGGTAGTAGTTCTATATGTGGGGGGCCCTAGAGGGCTAAGCTGCTGGTCTTACTCGTTGCCAGTAGGTGGTGGAGTGGTTCGCCTGACCGCTCCTAACGTGTGAGGGATTAGATTAGGAAGTGTGTTGGTAGGTAGTGGCGGGTAGCTGGAGTCGCATGCAGGCCCTTTGTTTAAGTCATTGCAATTCCTCATGGGGGTGTGTTCTATTCGTTCTGTGTGCGAGTTGTTGGTGTCTGTGGCATTGCCCTGCCCCCTCCCACCACCCCCCCTCAAAGGTAGAGGCTTTAAGGGTGTAGGGTGTGTGTGAGCACTGTACCCAGAATTGTCTGTTGGTGGATGAGTTTGGTTCGCTCCGATGGGTGATGGGTCTTAGTGTGTCTGTCACCTTGTGTGTCGGTCTTCGTCGTCCCTTCGGGGTTGTGGTGTGTAGCTTCCAATTGAGTGTTCTTGTCCCTATATGGGATAGATGTAGATCACATGTTAAACAATAATAAGCATTAACATATCAAATGTTGTGCCTTCGAATAGCATTACAATGTCAATACTGTTGTGTTCCCAATGTGTTATACATTATACATAAATCGTAAGTAACATTAACCTATCGAACTTTGTACCAGCAACCAGCATTACAATGCCAATTACAATGCCAATTCTATTGTGTTCCCACTTTGTTTTATGTTGTACATAAACAGTAATACGCATTATCACAGCCGTCTTTGTATCGTCAAATAGCATCATAATGTCACTGTGTTTTGTGTTATACCTAGGCAGTAATAAGTGTTATCACTTCAAAGTGTGTACCTTCAGGTAGCATTTAAATGTCAATTCTGCTGTGTTACCGCTGTAACAGGTTTGCAGTACATTGTGGTATTCTGCAGGTAGAGCCTTAGGGTAATGATGTCGCTTGTGTGTCCAGGGTAGGGAGTTCGCCCACATTGTGGAGGCAGGTGTAGTGGGCATTAAGAGCTCATTCCTGCCTTGCCTACCCCTGCCTGGGTGGGCACTGTCAGTGCTTTATCTTATGGGATCAAGGGTATGCATTGTATGGTGAGCATGTCCC